GTGGCACAACGGTAGACACCGGTGAACTGTCATAGCTGCGTTAACAATAAGAGTCAGCATGAAATCTTCAATGCCATGTACTTTCGGAATAATTCCCTTGACTTCGAACTCAAAGCACGCCTGTAATCTGTATCACAGAATGCCTGTCAAGTCGTAAAGTCTGGGTGTCAGTTTGTTTTCAATTCCCTATCCAAAAACTCCTTAATAATATAAATACGCTAATGCAAGTCTGCCTAAGTAAACGACCATGATATGTCAGGGCATCACCTGACCTGGATACACACCATCTCCCTCTCTTCCAGAGATCGACTAACTATCCACATGATTCCAAGGCTTCACTACATCTTCAGCTCTACGTCTATCTTTCTCTAGCAGATTTTTACTTCCGTACCATAAAGACCTCACAGGATGTCCATTGCAAACGTATGCTGGGAAAAGTTGCTGACTGTGATACTCATTTTTCAGGGTTACTCCACCAGGAGTACGAAGAGTATATCCATTATGGTGACTGGCGTCTGCTATGACAAATGGCCCATCATAGAAAGGTTCACCCTTGTGTTGCCTGTTCCGTTGACGCAAAACCCAATCACCCTTTCCGAAGACTCTTAGCCGTGCTTTTTTTTCCTGTAGATACGAACGGATCTCATCTCTCGCTGCTTTACCATTCGCCACATTAAGGCGGGCATTTTGTGTCTTAGGGTTTTGTATCTTAACCAAGTCTGTTGCGAGAGCGGCTTCTTCAGAAAGCGTCAATTCGCGAACGTAGGGGCCTGGGGATTCTTCTCTAGAAATACCAAGCGCAAGAAAAATTGGAGCAAATCCTGATGAGTTGGGACGCCTATTGTATGTGTTCAAAGCTTGGTCTAGGATCCACTGGAAGCTACGTGATGGATTCATCGCTGATACCGCATAAAAGATAGTCTTGATGGTACCATTAAATCTTTCTACCTTACCGTTTGTCTGTGGTCGGTAGGGCTTCGTGATATGCTGCTCAATCGAATTTTCTTTACAGAAAGATGACATTTCCTTACTCAAGAAAGCTTGGCCATTATCAGTTATCAGTTGTTTAAGACCGAAAAGTACATATATATGGCGGGCCAATTTCAAGCACGAAACTGTATCCGGAGATGGTGTCAAGAGTGCCATTGCATAAGAAGTAGCATGATCAATCGTGGTACACAGATACGCTGATTGATTGTTGTGACGTACTGGACCGGTGTGATCCATTCCCCATCTTGTAAATGGTGCAGGTGCTTGTACTGGCCGGAGAGCATCTTGAGAGTGGATATCAATAGGTTGCGTCATAAGCTGACATCTTGGGCAAGTTTTGTATGCTTCTTGTGCAGCCAAAATAATGTCTGGATGCCAAAGATGATGCCGGGATTCTCTGATCAGCGTGCCTATTGAACAGTGTGCCTGATCTTCATGCAATTTAATTAGAGATGTCACAAGCTTCCCATAATGGTGGATCTTTAAAAACTTATTGTTTAGCACGCGGTAAGTAGATCCATTATGAGCATTAAAATTCTGTTGGACCCATGATTCAGGTAGATTAATTGGCAAGGTTACGTTATGATGTAAATACTCTGCAATAGAGTGTAAATCTATCCAAGTTAATCTTTCTGCATCCGGTAATTTCCTTGAGGAGCTTCCCGAGGGGTTGTCGTGAACAGGGTCATATCTAGAGATTGGGAAAGTTGTGACTTCAGGTGGTGGCCGAGAAAGCCAGTCGGCAAGATGATTGGATTTTCCTTTTTTATAAATAATTGTAGGATCAAAATGTTCAAGGATGTCCACAAAACGCTGCATTCTTCGAGGTAATTTAGATTTTTTTCTTATTCCAGCCAGGCTTTCGTGGTCAGTTCTGATGATGATTTCACAGCCTTCGATCCAGTCTTGCCAAGTTTGTAGAGCTTGAACAATACCCAATGCTTCGCGCTCCTGCGAAGAGTAGCGTTGCTGAGTAGGGGTGAGCTTACGACTAGTATAAGCAACGGGATGTAAATATGCACCGTCCATAGATGGTTGCAGTATTGTCGTGCGTATGATTGGCGTAAATGGAGCATCGGGTTGAAGAAGAAAACCGCCAGTATATTTATCCGACGAATCAACATCAAGAACTACAGGCAATTGCGGGTCCATCGGCCTTAGTACTGGAGTTGTAATCAAAGAGTCTCGTGTGGCTTTCCAGGCAGCAATTTGCTCATCATTCAGTGTTACAGGTACATTTTTGCCTTCTAGGGATGTTAGGTTATAAAGTGGCCCAGCTAACCTGCTGAAGAGTTTGACATAATCATGAAAATAATTACAAGAATTTAGGAATGCACGGACTTCTGTGACAGTTCGTGGCATTGGTCTGTCGAGAATTGCTTGTATTTTTGAAGGATCGACTTGAATACCCTGCCTATCGATTATATGGCCCAGAAATCTTGTCTGAGTGACAAACCATGCACATTTCCGAGGGTTAAGCCTATAACCGCAGGACTGGAGCCGTTTCATCACCAAGAAAGCATTCTGTGTGGCTTCCTGTACCGTATCACCCCAAGTTATCACATCATCTATCATATTAGATGTGATGTCACGGACAGGCTGAAGACATTCGTCCATTGCTTTTTGGAAAGTAGCGGGGGCGTTGGTCAATCCGAATGGCATGACCTTGAATAGATATTGTCCCTGAGGAGTGACAAATGAGCAAATTTTTTTGGCATTCTCTGTAAGTTCGATTTGGTAAAATCCTGATTTAAGGTCGAGTTTAATGTAAAACTTATGACCAGCAGCTTTTCGGATTTCATCTTGCACTTCAGGTAGTGGATAGGCTGACTTTTCTGTGCGTGAATTTATTTGTCGAAAATCTATTACCATTCGTCCCTTTGGCCTGCCATCCTTAGGGACTAAAATTGCTCGACTTGAAAAAGGACTTTGACCACTAACCAATACGCCTTCTTCTATACCTGCATTGACAAATTCCTTTATGATAATGGTATCTTTGGGAGAGTAGCGGCCAGGTGAGCACTTCAGGTTTGAGGTATCTTTATCAAGAACAATGTCGTGTTTAATGCCGGTTGCTCGTGTTGCGCTTCCCGCAATTTGTAAAGAATGAAAAAGGGATGGGAATTTAGACTTAAGAATATTAATATTTTTATCGATTTTTAACATATCATTAGGGGAAATTTCTGGAGGTGGTCGGATTACAAGCTCTTGTGGGAGTGATGCCAAATTTAACGTTTCATTTGAACTAGCTGGAATCTTAGAAGTTGCCCAGGCTGTGACATGATTTAACTCTTGTTCATCCTTTGGGATTGGACAGAGTAAAGGAGTACCGGCTAGTTTGGTGAGTTTCACACAGTCTGAGTCAGGAACGTAAAGGGCCCCCAGTTGGTGTAAGGTTGTTCTCCCGATTGTCAACGGTGCGGGAAATGTACCATCAGGAACCACTCCACAAGAAATTTCGATTGGTGGGTTACTAGCAAATCCGACTGAAACTTTGCAGTCATAATTAACCACTGGTCCATATTTTCCTGCGACCCCTCGAAGTTGGACAGGAGTCCTCGATAAAAATATATTGTCAGAAGAGAGATTAGAAGCGATCGAGGAAGTAACATAACAACTTGCAGTTCCTCCGTCGAAAAATACGAAACTCTTAACGCCATTTATAAAACAAATAAAAAATCGATGATAATCGTTAGCACCCTCTCTAGAAACAAATGAAAATTCTGATGAAACATTACTAGGATTAAAAGATAAATTGGAAAAAGTTTCGGGATAAGAAACAACTTTATTATTATTATTGAGAAATTTTTGTTGCGGGCTCGCGGCGTTGGCGTTAAAGACACCGCTGCCTAGTCCTCATATATGATCCTTACCGTCATCATCGTCATCATCATCGTCGTCATTATTATTATCGTCATTATTATTATTTTCATTGAACTTGGGTTCTATTTCCTGACAATCTTCCGAGTCCCATATTTCGGGATCAATTTCATCGTCAAACTGAACCGTTTGATTGGCGTATACCGACGCAGATGTATTCGGTCGTCTATGAGGTGGCGACGGTTTAGGGCCACGGGAATAAGTATTCCGACTTCGAGTATTAACTGGATTGTGGTTTTGTTGTTTGTGAAATTGACCTCTTGTTTGAGGTACGACCCTTTCCTTTGAATAACCGGAGTTATTTTGACCTGCGTGGGACTGATAATTGTTCCCTTGGCGCTCTACCGGCTTATATTTGTTGCGGCAGTCTGCGCTATAGTGTCCAAGCTTACCGCACTTGTAACAAACAGTTTCAGGTGTGGCGGCATTTACAGAAGCTATGGGATTATCTAGATTAAATTTGTCCTGGTACGTTGATGTGTTCGCGGGAGTTGTGTCAGTCCAGAGGGGGTCTTGGTAGACAGGCAGAGATTCTCTATCCACTGGTCTAGATGCAAGCTTTGCCATCCAACACTGATGCTTTTCGGCGATTATCCAAGCATTTGATAAAGCGCTATGTAATGGATACGCTTCGTCTTGTTGGACTAAAGTGTTCCAAACCATACCTGCATGCGTTTGAAGTGTATATTCAATCGTTCCCTCCACCTCTTTACCAGCACGTTCTCGAGTGGGCATGCGATGAAATGCGTCCTCAAAACGTTTTAGGAAATTTGCCGTTGACTCATTAGAGGGTGGACCTGCTCGAAAAGCTATAAATGCATCGACGGGGCTACGCAAATTATTCGATAGGGCAAGGATTTGCAGATTACCTTCGACAGCCATTGGCCAGGTAGGATGTTGCGTTCGACAAAAAGTATTCACTTGTCTGAAATCACAATGAAATAGGTGACACACTCGCTGAGGCCAGAGATCGTTAGGTGTCCCTTCTTCAATCAGCGCAGTTTGAATTTTTTGTAGGTTCAAAAGATTTTCAACGTCACATGCTCTGACTAGAGGCTTTAGTCCGGAGCGAAATGCTTTGTGTGAACTGCGACTGTCCAAATTTCGATGATCCAAGTCTGATTCGGCAATTAGTTCGCACCAGTGCTTCCACAACCATTGAATATATTCGCTTTTCGAATTAAAAGAGGCCCAGCTGCTTCTATTTTCCCTATCAATACAAGGATCGGATAGGTTAAGTAAATTTGTTTTGCCTCGTGGTCCTGGCGAATTGGCAGGAGCTACAAAGAGTCCCCTCACAGGATTCCATGTAGACTTAAGTCCGGGTATAATAAGTGGGTCTCTTGGAGGAAAATTATTTGAACCCTTGGGCTTGTCGATATATTCGGAGACTTTAGATTCATTGTCGCTCAATGTATCGTTTTTCACAGCCGCGCTGGAGTCTTTATTGAGTTTTATCGTTGCCTCTAATTCCGAAAATCTAACGCTTAGTTCTGCTAACTCAGCATCATGACTTGTTTGCTTGACATTGAGCTTGCGAATTTCAGCGAGGATATCTGACAGTGTAGGTTCGTTGTTTGACTTCCCTTCGAGTTCAGAGTTCTCGTTGCTGGATGAGGCCGAGCGGGTTTTTGGTGGCGCCATTTTTTTTTGAAAATGAATTTGCGAAAAATGGTAGTTGAGTTACCTGCGCAAATAGCTATTTGTGCTTTCGGAATAATTCCCTTGACTTCGAACTCAAAGCACGCCTGTAATCTGTATCACAGAATGCCTGTCAAGTCGTAAAGTCTGGGTGTCAGTTTGTTTTCAATTCCCTATCCAAAAACTCCTTAATAATATAAATACGCTAATGCAAGTCTGCCTAAGTAAACGACCATGATATGTCAGGGCATCATCTGACCTGGATACACAGCCAGTTAGATAAGGCTAGCTAGCGTCTTAGCATTTGTACATATAGAAATATCTTCTAGAATCCCTAGTTTCGAATTTGATTTCATTTAACCTGATCAGGCACCTTATGGGTCCATGCAGGTGACTATATTCATTGTTTGCAGAGGAATCCGATTCAGTGAAAACCCTCGGATCCTGTCTATTAATATTACTATCAATTGGCTTAGTTTCCCGCCAGGAGGTGCAGCGTACACTGTTCAGCCAGTGTGGATTCCCTCCTCTCCACTTCCAGATCGATTTATTATATCCCATATTGCTACCTCGACTTCCCCTGCAGGTCAAAACTGTTTTATCCATCCTTTGCTTAGTATCCACGGTGTGATTCTAGCCACATCTTCTGGGCCGTTCATCATTGCTTCAAATGACCTGATTTTAGCTTGTCGGAGAAAGTCGCCTCTTTCATTTGCCCACTGCGGACATGCCAACACCATACGCTTGACGTTTGGTGACGGATATCCACATTGATGGCTTGGCTTTTCTACTCCGGGAACTTTCCTTTTGCACAGTTAAGAATTGAGCCCGATATGCTCGCTTCTTAGCTGAATGCCGACACTGCTTCGGGTCCTGGATAGGTTACGGTGTATTTTTAAAGGTGTATCTTTGAAATTCATTTTGGTGCTGCCTATTTGTTCATCAGTAAATATCTTTGCCGCTTTCTAATGTTCAGGATCGGCTGATGCTGGTCGGTCAGGGCGTTGTTTCCTGTTCTGGCTTGTCCATGAAATCTTCTACTCCTGAAAGGCCGCTATCTTTCCAGCTTCTTTCTGCCTCCACTTGTCCTTATCCCTTCCGCAAGTTCTTGTCCATTCGGCGACATCTTTACTCTTATTAGAGGCATACGGAGTTTCTCGTCCGTTTACGGGCAGGTTTATTCTTTCACATTTCGTTCGGATTGTCTCTTGAACTGGGTGTTTAACTGATAGTCCGGCGTGCTGGACCCTCTTTTGTTTTAGGTATATCTCTACAGCGACAAATAATATACTTATTAAAAAACATCATCACTTGGTCAAAAGCGGCACCACGTTCCATGAACGTTATTTAATCGTTTTTATAATTGTTACCATCTTAATCAGTCCTCCTTATCTGATTCCCTAATTTTTTCACGTTGCGCTTCGGCATGGCGAGTTGAAGAGCCAGAAAGGTGGATTACGCGGCGGAAAATATTTTCACGGCACCAAAACCACCACCAGCGGACAGCGGAACCGCCGAAATTACGGCTGTAGACTCTCTCGCGACTTCTACAGGCGTCAATATGGATACTTTAAAGACAGTAGGCCTCATTTAAACAAGGCCAGAGACAGACTGGTGATAGCAGGCACTGATAAATCTGCGACACAGATGGTCGAAATAGGTGAGGCACTCGATGCCTTCAAAGCCCACGCTACGATGTTACAATCGAAGCTGAAGGCTTCACGAATGCTGGCCTTAGAGAAGGCAGTCACGAAGAATCTCGAGGAGCCGTCGCGCAAGACGGCTGCTTCGGCAGTACAAGGGATGGGAGGGCGACCCACATACGCCTCAATCCTCGCACCGCCAGCAACTAAAGCGGCAGTACGAATAAGGGTACAAGGAGCAGAAAATATGGAGCCAGCAGAGCTCCTAGACAAGGCGAAAATACACATTGAGGGGGCATACGTAGTAAGGAAGCTGCGGAGCAACGATACGGAGGTGTTTGTGCAGTCGGTCTCTCAGCGAGACGCTGCCTTGAGTATGGTGCAGCCAAAGGAGTTCTGCGTCCTGAAGCAGAATTACCCCGTTGAGATTTTGGGAGTCCCACTGGGGACAATTATACACGGAGGAAAGAACGCCAACAACAGTGTGGCAATTTTTAAAATGACTACGGAGACAAAAGCCCGGATTCCTGGAATACAAATCAACAGGGTGAGGTGGCTTAACGACGGCAAAGAACACCAATGGATGAAGACAAAAGGCCATTCTCGAGGGTCAGTTATCGCAAGCCTTCCGACCGAGGCTCTTCAACGCGAAGTAGTTCGAAACGGCATTGTGATGGATTCAATGCTCTACACGGCCCAGCTTTGGTCATCCCGAGCACAAGTCAAGCAGTGCTTCAACTGCAGTCAATGAGGGCATACCCAAGCATATTGTAATAAGGCAAAGAAATGTGGAGGGTGTGCGGGCACTCATCACAACAGGGACTGCCCGAAGAAAACGGTGCTTTGCTGCAACTGCGGTAAAGCCCATAAATCGTGGCAGACGGGGGCATGTCAGAACTCTGCGTCATGTAAGGCCAGCGTTCAAAAGGCCAGGTATGGAATCATGGAATGAACGGCAAATCTAAGAAGGGAGGAAACTTTACCAGCGGCATCACAACTACCAACCACGGCAAAATCTACGGGCGACCAAGGGTGCACACTGGTGTCCCACCAAAAGCCGGAGGTACTAAAGAGATGGCCAGGACGCCCGCGCAAACAGCTCCTGGTAAATCCCCCACCAAAAGTATTTGGACCAATGGGGCCAAGTTCAAGACCATAGTCGTCTCTTTTAAGCACGCGAGGGTAGGGAAAGGATGGCGAGGTCCAATATAATTTCAGCTAGTCCTGTCTCGGACTCAAGACCAATTGCACTTCCTATAGGTAACGAAGGACTGTAGATGAATATAAAAGATAAAAGAGGGAGGGGGTTTTTACCGCAAGGTTTCATCCTCATGTAAATATATAGATAGTGTCGCAACACTATTTTGGGATGTACATGGGTCAGGAGAGAGACCGCAATATGTTGATAATTAGTCACGTGGATTGGTGCAGCTTTGCGTGTCGCCCTTGAGGCTGACACGCCTGTATCTAAGAAAGAAGAAGAAGAATCATCACATCATCGAGAGACCCATTGTGTACGCGTACACTTGTATATTACCGACCGACAGATAGGTTCATAGCCACCTGCATGGGCCCACAGGGCACCAAATTGGGTTAAATGAAATCAAAATCAAATATACTTATTAAGGAAATAGTGATCCCTCAGTCATCGAGGTTGTAGAGCGCGCTGATCCAGGAAACCACCAAAGTGAAACAAAGTACAGAATCTGCAGTCACGTATGTATTACTAAAGTGGGCTACTTGACAGCCCCAATTATTCTAGCTTCTAACAATACTGAACATTACCTCAACACTTATTATTTGAATTAGATGAATTAAACAAAAAAAGCCAACCCGATTTCTGTAAAATTTAATCATTCAACACGAGAATGTAGTTTCCATAGAGTCGTGTCCCTGAATTATGCTTAGGTTCCGTGTCCCAGGATCCACCCCAATTAATAACATGGAATTAGAATTTTTCATCTATTCTTCTCTCTGAATTACTTGGAAGATATCTTCTGGGATAATTTAGCAAAGTATCAAATTCATTGCCACAGGACATAATCTGTCAGGTAAGGACGCTTTCTTTTGAGGATGTACGTTGGAGAAATGGATTTCAATTTGAGTCGTGTTAACCCAATTTGAATGAAACTTCAAAATGTATTGACTTGATTTGATTGGACACGTCTACCGTGACAGGCTCTACTCTACATCTTTCAGGCGCGACGCGGGTATATGGATGACAGCAGCCTATTTAAACTAGTGTGACTGAATATACAGCCAGAAGAAACAAAAATCGATGAAATAAATCTAAATTTTGAGCTAGAGTGTGGTGTCTTGGGCGCTACCACGTTTTCTTAAGAACATATTTTCTTTTGGAGCTGACTCGACGATATGGTCTCCCACCATGTTTAATTTTAGTTTACCCATGATATTTTCTTATACGCATGATGTAGAACAGCCTCTACCATTTAACATCTCTCATCATTCCCCATATACTTGGGGGAGGTACTAGATTGCAGTTTCTCCAACCTTGCATAATGGATTGGCCCTCTGAAAAGTGCAAAGGCTCATTATCTCGATCATAAAAATCATCCAGACCTTTATTTCAGTGACAGAAGCACCAGTGGTAGTCGGCGAAGTCACTATGGCCTGTTCACGTCAGGACAACATGATGGCATGCCCAGCTTATACAGCTTGTTGCAGCAGCTATTTGCAGCAAGAATGAATGGGTTACGTTAGGAAGTTTGCAATTTACAGTAACGCTTGTGACAAACATGGCAGGTTGCGTTTGCTATAAACTACGCTGCTGAAGCCATGGACACTTAGCAAACACTTAGTTAGGTATTTTCGACTACTTTCTTGGACTGTGAAGCATTTATATTTTATGTATTTTCAGATCTCAATTAACACGTAATAAGCTATCAATCTACAACACATGACCACTGCTATGTATTCATGTTGGATGCCTTTTTTAAAGTTCGAGACCCCCATACACTCGATTTCATTCGCAAACACCACTGAGGTATGTTTGCTTACAAAAAAAGTCGTATCTTCTCCATGAGGTTCCATCAAAGGGACAGTTAAGCCCCTTTGGTTGTCAAAGGATTCCTTTGTCATTAATGTGAACTTACACAGCGAGCATGGTGGTTGTATTTTGCTGGGTTTGAACCAGCGGTTTCCTGTCTCACGTAGGATATTTGTTCAAGCTATTCAGAATCTACGTGAGAGGCTGGCCTAGATGATTTACCACCGCACTATGCAAACGCGCCGTTGATTACATTATCGCTTGCAATCAAATTAGATACTCGAATGCATATGATCCGACAGGTTATCTTTTTTCACAAGATTCCGAAAGACCCCCTTCGTGTCTGTATGCGGAAGAACGATGTCGCAATTCTAGGTATTCAGTTATACATCTGGTCAACTTCCTATCTGTCTGATAAATTACTTTGTGCTGTATATACAAATCGTCGCGTGCAAGGCTACATTTTGGGCTTAGCGCGTAAACCTCATTCTATATCTAAATCCACCCTTATACACATGGGCGCAGAAATTTGTGCGGTTCCACAACAAATCATCTTTGGAACTCGCAGTTCAACTTTTTCTGATATTAGAAATCATTCCTGTAGTCATTGCTTCATTTCATCAAGAATTTGCTACATCGATAATGTCGTCACAAAAGCAACTGCTGGATGGGACAGATGTTTCCGAACTAACTTATTCAGCATTACCGTCTACATGGGGTCGAATATCATCCTGGGCATCAGAAAACAAGGCAGTCGTGTATACTGTAGCTGGAATAGCTATTGTAGTAACAGGGGCTGGGGTAGCGTACTATCTAATAGACTCGGTAGGACTGCCGTGTTTGCCGTAAATTTGAGTTGATTTCCGATCTAATACTGTAACTTGGCAGGAATCCTCACGATCATCCCCCAAAAAGCATAACAAGAAAGAAAAACGGAGAAAACGGGAAGATGCAAAAAAGACCGTCGATGGTACGAAGGAAAGCTTGGAATCTCAGCCTAAAGCCCCAGTTGCAGAACCCACCGCTGAATTACCTGAAATCAATGAGAAGACAGTAGAAAACTTCTCCACTGAAGAGAGAAAAGCAATTGCGGCTAGATTAAAATCGGCTGGTAACACTGCCTACGGCGCCAAGGATTATTCTAAAGCTATTGAGCTGTATGGTCAAGCTATCCTTTGCAAACCAGATCCTATCTACTATTCAAATCGCGCCGCATGTTATAATGCACTAAGCGAGTGGGAAAAAGTAATTGATGATACCACTAATGCCATCAATCTAAACAACGAATACGTTAAAGCTCTAAATCGTAGAGCAGTCGCGTACGAGCATCTGGATAAAAATAGTGAGGCGCTTTTAGATTTTACCGCAAGTTGTATAATAGATGGCTTCCAAAATGAATCAAGTGCAAATTCTGTTGAGAGGTTACTCAAGAAGGTAGCCGAAACAAAGGGAAAGTTGATACTTGCAAACAAGCACAAACAATTACCTAGTCCAACTTTTGTAACAAACTACCTTCAAAGTTTCCGAGCCCGACCAGCTCCTGTTGGACTAGAGGAGAGTGCTGAGATACCTGAGAACTCGGGTAAAGCTTATTTACAGGCAGGATTACGTGACATGGTCAAGAAAACCAGAGAGGGTTATCAGAAAGCTGCAGACTCATTCGATAAGGCCTTAGAAATTGGAGATCTTGGGAATCATGAAGCCTTTGCCTACAACATGCGGGGAACTTTTCGATATCTCCGTGGTGAAAATCTGGAGGCTTTAGGTGATCTAACTAAAAGTATTGAACTTCAACCAGACCTCATTCAAAGCTACATCAAGCGAGCAAGTATGAATCTAGAGCTTGGTACGTTTTTCAAGTAAGATACTATATGGTTACTCACCAATAACTAGGTAACAAATCAGCTGCTGTAGAAGACTTTGAAAATGCGACTCTTCAAAATAACAGAGATCCAGATATATTTTATCATCGTGCACAGCTACATTTTATTTTGGGCGAGTACGCCGAAGCAGCAAAGGATTATCAAGTCTCTATTGATCTAGACAACGATTTTATCTTTTCTCACATTCAACTTGGTGTAACTCAGTACAAATTAGGATCAATCGCATCATCCATGGCAACCTTCCAAAGATGTACCAAAAACTTCGAGCAAATACCAGACGTCTATAACTACTATGGAGAATTGTTATTAGATCAACAAAAGTTCCAAGAAGCTATTGAAAAATTTGACACAGCTATTAAGATGGAAGAGCGAACTAAACCAGAAGGTATTAATGTACTGCCTCTAATTAACAAAGCTTTGGCTTTATTCCAATGGAACAAAGACTACGTAGAGGCTGAGAAACTATGTCAGAAGGCTCTCACAAGTTTGTATTTTCGTAAACTGAGAAGACAACTTACTGACTTATTTTAGTCGACCCCGAATGTGACATAGCGGTTGCGACAATGGCACAACTTCTACTTCAACAAGGTAAAGTTACAGAAGCACTTAAGCACTTCGAACGTGCTGCTGAACTCGCCCGGACTGAAGGCGAAATTATAAATGCCCTATCATATGCCGAAGCTACAAGAACTCAAGTTCATGTGCAAGAGAAATATCCACAGCTTGCCAGTCGCCTGCAAGGAACTGATCTAAACGGTGGGATATACCAGACATGAGAGCGCTTCAATGGGCTTTTTTTTCTGCTCAAATCGATTGTTACCCTACTCTATGTATTTACAAGTAATGTGGAAAAAGGAGCGCTACACTAAAAATTTATTTAGACTTTACGTAAATTTTGTACATATAGGTTCGTAAGAAAAATTGCGTTGGTATTTTCACTTCTGCGCCGATGGACATCAACCAAAGTGCTCATATTCACGAGGGCCGATGATAGGATGTTATCATCTAAATACGAGATTTAGAGGCTATTATCCTATGTATTATCTTCAATCAATGTGGGGGATGAGCATCTAGTACCTTAAATATTTCTACATCGTGTTGCTTTATATTTCCAATGCTGGAAAGTGCTTCTATTTGTTATGCGCGAAGTGCGTTGCATCTCTCTGTTGCCGATTCATTCTCTTGATTACTTAGAAAAAAACCACGAACTCCACGCTCCTATTGTTCGTAGATGGAGAAGAGAGACACTATACACACTTCACTTTTGAAATCTTGGTCTGCACTAAATTAACCCTACGTGTAGGTACACAAAGACCAATCTACAACCAAACTCCATATCTTTATGTCCCGATACCCAAATCAGGAGACCCTTAAACGCCTCGAAAGGGCTCGAGAGCTTGATTTAGAGATAGATTTAGCGCCTAAATTTTTATTGGAGCTTATGCCGTAAAAAGCTGTCGCTCCATTAAGCTAGGGCCAGATTATACAGTATCGTTCCTAATAAATGGGTTGTAGGTAGAACAGAATAGAATAGAATTTTATTTATGTCCCTACTGAGTCTATGACATGAAGGACAGCTAAAACTATATAAATAGCTTTAAAGTTAATAATAAATTTTAAGGGTTGTGGGCACACGTAGAGGATGCTAACTTTTGGGTCAAAAGAGACGCCCACCAATTTTATAAGCTGATGGAGATACAATACCATGACGCGCAAACTTAGAGAAGATATGATCTAAGGTACTTTTACTAGACATCTACGTTGACATCCCGTGGTATTTCTCTGAATGCCGGACAGCGCTAAATGAATGGCGGAAAACAACAAAGGAAATAGCACCAAGTATATGGACAATGTTGGGAGGAAAGGAATGGATAGCTTTTTATAGATTCCTTACCGTAACAGGATGCTACGGGGTGCAAAGTAGGACTTGAATGACCGAGGTTTTCTGGGATACATATAGTACATGAAACTGCTATGAGATAGCTGGCTAGGCGCAGGGCGTTAAGTCAGGGCGGCAAAAGTTTTTGATGAAATTTTTGTCTTTATTAGATCATGTAAATTTCTGGCCACATAAAGCCAGCATCTTTTTTTTTCTTTTTGCATCAGATTTGAATTGCGTATGCAGCTATCTAGCTATGCTCAATATCGGAGAAAAGTACAGAATAGATGATTCAACGTAAAGGAAGAGCACTCATGCCTCAGATTTCATTTGCAAGTACCACTGCGAAGTTATGGTGGCTTTTTCTTCACCCCAAGTCAACCCTCATCCGTGAATACCCACCCAGGGGAACGTCTCAAAAACCCTGAGTTATCCAGACATGCCTCCATCATCTTTCAACTTTTCTCCGCGCGATATGTGATCTGAGGTGTCTCCTTCCCAAGTGGAGAAAGCCAGCATCAGTGGTGTCTGTGGGTCCCCCCGGGATTACGCACCCGTGTCAAGCCTCCTGGGTGTAGGGCTTTAGCCTGATACGTTAAATCATTCAATTCAATTCAATACGTTGACATCAGGGCTTGGAGAAGTGACATTTTTGCACAGGTCACATGATGCTTTGGTAGACCGGACGCATACTGGTCCGATGCTAAATGCAAGGGCAGTTTATTTTAACTCAAGTGCCAGTATGAAGAATGCTGACTCAACATAATTTATTGCTTACTAATTTCTTCTTTCCTTTTCACCGCACTATTTGCACAAAGAGCTCAAGGGTTAACAGCTCTAAAATGGTTACAACGAGCATGGCAGGTCTGATAGTTAAGTCTTGGCTGGCTCCACCGGTCCTACATCTGATTAATAGAAGGTTTCGACTTAGAGCTTATGAATAAATAATTATAGAGGATGCTAGACACTTAAGAGTATTACTCATCCGTATAATTCCTCAGTTGATGTCCACACTTCCCTGTGTGTGCACTTTACAGAATGCCGAACGATCTTGCGACAATGGAGAATACCCATACATGAACCATCAGCAAGAGGACGAGTCATGTTGACAGAAAACGGATGGGATGAACTCTGTGAGTGCAAGACTGTAAGGGATGTTACTGAGGGCGATTTTCATATCGAGAGGGCTAATCCTCCTTGAGTGACTGGAATCTTTGAACCATTTAGTATGAAAGTGGGCAAGGCGCAGGGAGTTTTATGCCCAGGCAATTTTCTTCAAATATTCTTTCGTCTACTTATTCGGCCTAAACAACTTATTTTTACATCTACCGGGCACTAGTTACAACGAAAGCGCCATCTCTGAGGCGATATAGTGACCGCTATGTAGTACAAGATGTGATGCGCAGTGGCAGAGGCCGTAAAAATACATTTAGAAACTGCGAGCGTTATGCAGCAGATTCCTCACAAGAATAGCCCATAGGTTGCGTAGTGGGCAGATTTCTGATCGGAACTTAATTTTCTTCAATATGGTGGCGAAACGCTTAGAAGCTGTGGAGATGCTTAGGAAAAATAGGGTGAGCCCATACTTCGTCCATGGTCGGTCGAAGCTAGTCTTTCTCGCAAAAAGGGGCAAAAAACTAAGTGAGTATTTTGAGTTATGATTCCCGCAGGAACAAATCAGAAGGGCATCATCTCGACCTAAAAAGCTAGACGGATAGGTGGTACTGAGTCTTCAGGCATCATATGTTATGAATCTACTTATTGGCAGATTTTCGAAGCTGTTAGGCTGCAGAGGTCGAGTCGAGTTCGACGAAGACAAATTATCGAAGGTGCGAAGGTACGAATTGATTACCAAGAGAAGAGTTATCGAAGTTCGGATTATCAAAGGTTACAAATTCATATTTCAAATTATCAAATTATCAAAATATCGGATAGCGAATTCCAAATAAGCAAATCCTTAAAAAACCGAAATTGTCAGATTTTCAGAGGTAGAGAATATATCCAAATATCCAGCCTGACCAAATCTAAATCTCATGCAATACTGCTGGAAAGAAATCGTGAAGGAGGCACAGGAGGGAGTGCAGTACCCGAGGCACAAATACTCCCGGCCTGGTGGCACAAAAGATCTACATGTCCTTTCATAGTCATAGACTTTGTAGGACAATAAACACAAACAAACAATACGAGAAGTCCCCATGCAACTCATTTTCACCCTTCTATCCGTCTCACCTAGTGACCTACAAATCGAATTGTAATTGTTTGCCATTGGCGGCATTCAAAATGTCTCCGACGCGTAAAACGCCCAAACACGCAATCAGCGGGACTGCCAAAGATTGCGTCAATAACCCTACCAAATCCATGAACCCATTCAACACCACGCAAGAACTATGCTGACGAGAAGAGGGCTCGAGTCAAATGTCCAAAACATGGACGCCATCGTGGCCGCGCTCCAAGCTCTACAGAAGTGAGGTCCACGCAAGGGGCAAAGCTATCAATGTATAAGGCATCAGGAGTCGAGATCTCATTGAAGCCCGCATCACCTCTAGCACCAGAAGCAGCAAGAGAAGCAAACTCATATCCTCCGGGATTGCATGCGGCGATTGAAGTGGAGGAGCGCCGGGCAAGGCAAAAAGCCGCGCATTTCACTACCTGCTCAACAGTTAATAGTATTGTCGAAGCAGCCCTTCTACCGCTCTCTATCGGTGAAAAAAAAAAGATTCTGTAGACTCCATCAAAGTCTACTTAAGTGCAGCAATTGCACAATTCGTGGCGGCCGGACCGAGCACCGCCTCGCCAGCCCTCCCACAGCGACCAAAGGTCGGGACTCCGCCTACCACCGTTTTCCCAGTGGCCGTACCCCGAAAAATTACTAGGCACTATGGATATGAGCTAGAGGATGATATTTTCAGATGCACGTGAAAGCGGATGCTGAGCCGTTGATGAGGTTTGGAGGAGACGAGAGAGCTGTTTGTAGTTTATTATGTTACTTTTCTCTGACGGCATGCGCACCGTGACAATGTATCCACAATTATCTGGTGTCAAGCTCATGTGGGGATTGAGGGTAATGAACTTGCTGACTCTCTTGCAAGAGGAGCAGCAAAGAAGACAGCTTCGAGATATGACAAATTTAAATCCCATTTTCTTCTGAAGCAGAAAGTGATTGAATACATTTTAAACGCTTGGCGTAATGACTGGCTAACAGAAGTTCTCCGAGAAGAGGAGGGTAGAAAGTGTAGGGGACTTGGCAAGTTCTACAGAATCCAAGCTCAGATGCATATACCCACCTTTTCTCTACAACCATTTAACTTTCAAAACCATAGTAGCATTGTTGAATCAGCATTTTTCCAGGCAAGAACTGGGATTGGAAACACTAGAGCTTACCTGAATATCATTGGAAAAGCTAAAGATAAATGTTGCAACTTTTGCAGGGCTAAAAAGCAGAGCGCAAAACATTTAATTCTTCATTGTACCAGATATTTCAAGCAAAGGGAATTAGCCTTTGCTAACATGAAGCCTCTTTCGTTATAAATATTATTGAGAACCAAAAGAGGGAAGGAAGCCCTTCTAGGATTTTTGAAAACTTCCAGGTGTATGTCAGCATACAAAGGAGATGATATAGGCACATAAATAATGGACATGAAGAAATATGGAGAAGTGATTTTGGGCGTTAACTGGTATCATTCTGCAATGTAAAAATAAATGGATGTTTAATTGTCAGAGCTAGATTGCTGAATACTATATGATTCAAAAAAAGATGTATCCACAGTTCAATATTCATACCAGAAATGAAGCTCCCCCTAGTCAGCATACGCTAAGATTAACCCCGTCTCTCTCTCAACTACGCCGGCAAAGACGAATTCTTCACCTTCCAGTGGTGCCGGTGTAATGTCTCAGTAT